TTACTGTCATAACATATAAAAGGCTCGCGCCTGTGAGATAACAACAAAACATTAGAAAAATAGCTCACACCAAAGCCTTCACCGAGTATTCACCGGACAACCCGCTTCCAAGCTGCGCGAACCTATTTCACTGCGCACGTGCTATGAGCGCAGCCTAGCTGTTGAAACCAGTTTTCCCCCGAAAAGTCGGGGGAAAATTAGTGAAACGTTTGAACTCCGATTTCGCGCGGGTTTTTTCATCGCGTTATTTTTCCACTTTATATAAGTTGAATTTGCATTTTTGACGATTTGTTTCAGTAAGTCCATACCGAAAGGGATCAGAATCTGCAAAGTTGTGTTTTACGTTGCATGTGACCTTATGTCCGCTCTGCCTTGAACTCTGACCATGGCGACCATTTGGCATGAAACTAACATCTACTTGAACAGTTGCCATCTTGCAATATCTGACACACGACAGTGGTTCCACATGTGCACATTGTAAACTGGCAGTTTTGATATGAAATTGATAATGGAAGCTGCAAATTGTAAACATTTATCATTGACTAAAATTGTTTTGCAGGTGGTGAACACCGTTCATGGGTCACCACGCTCAGAAACTGGAAATAACCAGCCAGGCATGAACTTGCTAATTAGGGTGTTAATTATAATCCGATATTCGTTAACTGTGGTCGGATTAACAGCTGACAAAGCGGGAGTAAATCGGGTATATATACAGCCCGACTGACCATGGACTTCCCTGTTTCTTGAACTTCAACTGAGTGAACCAACAGCCACGATTGATTCCGATCACCACGATTTGGAAGCACAATTAGACGCGATGTGTTGCGCTTTGTTACGATTCAATACGATCTGATGCGAGGATTACGATTGACAATAATAATACTAACTAGGATTGCCTCCAGGGCAATACTGGCGGTCTTCATACCTCCCCATACACCCCTCCGTGGCTACCTTCACTGGCTCCTTCGTCGGGCAGTTAATGGAAGACCTCGGGCTTCTGCAAATGATAATGCCCTCAAAAATAGCATTACCCTTATATTGTACCGTTTCTTTTGACGCCAGCTGGACCGTCCATTTTAACTCTCGGAGTTACGGGTGTTTGAAGTGTATTGAAGGGCTAGAAAGCGTCCAAAACCCAGGCAGAACACGTTTTCGACACGAGAGCGGATCGGTGAAATGCAGCCGGGGTCGCGGGGTCATGCACCTTTTAAGTAGTTCCCATAGAAGATATAGTTCTCTCTTTAACAGCGGGTAGCTCCGCCATCCTTGGGTCTACGGTCCAAACGATTAGAGCTCTGGAATTACCATGACCCTAGCTATCTGACGCATACACGTATGTGCACATACTGCTCTTGTGAAACAACCATAGATTTATGCGTGTATATAGTGCATTTGTTAAACACCCATTCAAACACAATTTGAAATAAAACTCATATCTCGCTCTGTACTTACAATGTTTATTAATGCAAACTTGTTCTCGACGCTGTATGGCTAGGATAATGCCGATGTAACGCTATTTCTTTGGGCATTGGATGACTTCCAGCTCAGATTTGACAGCTCCTTGTCATTGTCAATTACATCTGGCGTTGAAATTCACATCGTCTCCCGTATTTGCACGTGGACCACGCTTTGCAGTGGTAGTCTTTTTATAGGAGATATCTGTTCTCCCGCGTGAGCGCTTTTATCTGATAGTGAACGACCTGTGGGAAGTTTATCTGTATAATAAATTGCAACTGTGTAATGTGACTAACAAATTGTCTGCTTTTAAATTTCGTGTTATGACTCTTCTGTTTTTAAATGACAACGTAATGAATAGATGTTTTTTTAAATAAAACTCATTTTGACTCTGTATTTACAATGTCTATTAATGCAGAATAAAGCTGTCTTTTGCAGTATTCAAGAACATTCCATGAAATATCACCAACTTAACTGACCGGTTCAGGCTGATATTCAGTCATAGTATAAAGAAATATGTTACGAAGGCTCACAGCAAACTGTCTATAAAACAAACATTTTGAAAATATACATCTTCTCTGCTGAGGAGTATCAAATGTGCGTTTATGTGCTGGATTCCTGCAATCATGATGATGTAGCAGAACGGGTTTGCGCGATCCTGGCACAGTCAGGCTGATAAACAAACTGCTGGAGTCCCAGTTGTTACTTAAAGCGCATTGCTTTTTGGGCACTGGAATACCAGGAAGCGGCGACTGTTGCTAGATTTTACTGGCGCTTCCTGTGATATGAGATAACTGACTGAAGGAAGCGACATTAAAATCTAGCAACACTCGCTACTTCCTTGAGTTAGTTTTCTCACAACTGACAAAATGCGAAATCCTAATGTCCCTCCCTGTTTGGGGCGTAATTGTGGCGTAACTATTGACTTTTACATAATAATAATGTGAAGCAAAATTGTTCTACATTTTATTGTCTACAGTTTGGTACCTTCATAAAGAAAATCCATTGTGTTTTCGCAGAGCTGTGAACCCTATAAAAATGCGTTTTGCCAAAAATTGACCAACTTCCAAGTGCAATAACTCCGACACTATTCAAGATATCGACATGCCCTGAGCAAACTAAGTAGTCCGGAGTGTGGGCTTTAAAACGATATATAGAACACTATTGTACTATTTGCCGTTCAGGAGAAGACGATTGTTAAACACAGGCACGGTCAAATAGTTGCGGAAATGTGCAAAATCGCGAAGGTTGTCTTTGTGTCGTAATGGTGACGTTATTATTGATTTTTACATAACCATGATGTGAAGCAAAAATGTTTCCCATTCAATTACCTACAGGTTGGTACTTAGAAAAATGGAATACATTGATTTTTCGCAGAGTTGTGACCTTTTTCTTAACCCTATGAAAATGCGTCTTAAAAAATTCACCAACTTTCAAGGGCGGTAACTCCAAAACTCTTCAAGATATCAAAATGCCTTGAACAAATTAAGGTGTCCAGACTATAAGCTTTCCAACGGTGTATCGAACTTGATTGTACTATATGCCGTTCTGGAGAAGAAGATTTTTAAAGACAGGCACCGTCAAAACGCGGAAATCGGCAAAAAATTCAGTTTTTTCAAAATTGCGGAAAATTTGACCTACCGGCCAACTTTTGCTATGTGTTGAATCGTTGGAGAATGGTGTTGTCTACATTGAGTGAAAATTTGGTCCATTTATCTCTTATAGTTTTTGAGTTATTCAGGTGTAAAGATTTCGACATTTTGGGTTGTCTGCCCTTACCGGAAGCTGGAAGTCGGGATTTTTTCAACATTGTATCAATTTCAGCATACAGGCTATCATCCCTGAAAGTTTCATAAAAATCGACCCAGTGGTTAGGTCAGGGGAGCGGGTACAAAATCTGTACAAATAATAATAATAATAATATTCGGATAATAACAGTAGGTCTTCCAGACTTTCGTCCGAAGACCTAATAATAGCATATTTGTTACGCGCATATATCCATGCTAAAGCATGCTCAAAGCGCACAAGATAAAGATGAGATTAATGGTAAAGAGCTACAGTTCAAAGGCTATCTTGAACATGTGTGTTTTTAGATTGGATCTAAAAGAATTAAAGTCACAACAGTCTCTGAGGCTCTGTGGGAGACTGTTCCAGGCTATAGATCCTGCATGGACAAAGGACATCTTTCCATACATCACTGTCTTTACTTTGGTAACAACAAGCAAGTTCTTTTCCTGTGAACGGAGAGATCGGGAAGGCGTGTACACGGTTAGAAGATTGGATAGATAAGAAGGTGCAGTTCCAGTGAGACAGCGGAAATCAAGGCATAAGAGTTTAAACTGGATCCTGAACTCGACTGGCAGCCAGTGGAGAGTGTACAGTATATGAGTAATGTGTTCATATTTTCCAGAGCGAGTCACGATGCGGGCCGTTCTGCACTCTCTGTAGCTTGGCTATCTGGGTCTTTGATGCACCGGCCAGTAAACAGTTACAGTAGTCAAGTTTACTCATTACAAGTGACAAGACAAGAGTCTTGGCGGATTCAACAGTAAAATATTGGCGAATATATCCAATGTTGCGGAGTGACATGAAACAGGTTTTGACAAGATGAGATACATGAGAATCAAGTGACAAGATTGAATCTAGAAACACGCCCAGGTCTTTGACTTGATCAGCAAAGTAGATATGTGAATAGTCAAATTCAAGTGAGCTGACTCCACACTTGGACCTCCGTTTCTCTGGACCAAGGATAATGCACTCTGTCTTGTTGCTGTTGAGCTTAAGTTTGTTGTGGGTCATCCAGGATTTAACGTCATCACAGCATTGACTTATGTCTGTTAGTGCGCTACATGACTGTTCTTGGTCTGCAGGAAAACACTTGTATAGCTGTGCATCATCTGCATATTTTGATGACGATTTATGTTGTGATCGGCAATAACTTTCCAAACTCCTTAACAAGTGAAAAGGACCGGCCCCAGGACCGATCCCTGTGGTACACCATCTTTGAGATGGACTGGGGCAGAGTGGTGTTCGTCTATGAGCACAGTCTGACGGCGGGACGTTAGGTAGGACTTAAACCAACAGAGAGCGGTGCCATCAATGTGAAAATCACACCTGAGACAATAAATGAGCATGTCATGATCAATTGTATCAAAAGCCGAACTTAAATCGAGGAGTGTTAAGATACCAATATTGTTGTTGTCCAAACCAAGTCGTAGATCATTTAGGACTTTAACAAGGGTAGTCTCAGTGGAGTGGTGAGCACGATAGGCTGACTGAAGATGGTGATACATGTCATGTTGCTGGAGATGTTCTGACATCCTCACATTCATTGCTCGCCCAATGAGTCTTGAAACATACGAGAGGTAGGATACAGGTCTGTAATTGCCAAGTACATTGCAGTCGAGGTTTGGCTTCTTCAAAAGAGGCTTCACTAGCGCAGTTTTGAAAACAGCGGGCATTTCACCGTGTTCAAGACTTGTGTTGATGATTCTGGTGAGTACTGGGAGAAGAACATTAAGATGGTCTAAAAGTACAGATGTAGGCAAAAGGTCAAGAGAACAAGATGTGGGGTTTGATCTTCTGATCAACATGCGTACTTCAGCCTCACTGAAAGGTCTGAAATGTGTGAGAGTATGCTCGTCATTGTCACTTGAGTCTCGACATTTTGGGGACACTCTGGAAACTTCAGGATCATGTCTGGAGTCACTGTCGCCAAAATGTGACATGTTACCAGATCCTACCATTGAATCATGGATTTTGGCTATTTCATTTGTGAAGAAATTCTGAAAGACGTCTGACAGCTTATCAGGAGGATGGGACAAGATGGGAGGTCGGGATGAGTCTTTACCAAGAAGGCGGGACATAAGTTGATGGAGTGACCGAGGATCGAACATTGATTCCCGGATTCTGCTGTTCAGGGATGCTTGTTTGGCACGCCTTATCTCCAGGTGACCCTGTTCCCTGCAGCACAGTAGATCTGCCTGTGTACTGTGACGTCTACTGCATTTAGCCTCTAACACATCTGACGTCATAGTCCATGGCGTCACAGGCCTGTCCGTTACTCGTCTGTTTTTCAGAGGCGCGTGTTTGTCCAATACACCAAGAAGTGTAGAGTTAAACAGTTCTGACAGTTCATTTAGATCCGGGGGAGGGCATTGCACAAGAATGCTATTTGATGAGTCAACACTGAATGCAGTTTTAAGCTTTTAAGTTCCGACACTGCTTGACTTTCTTTGGGTGCAGAGGCTTATCTACATCCAGAGAGAAAGTGATCAGATAATGGTCTGATATTTGAAGGTCGGTCACACGAAGGTCACAAACACAGCATGTATCCTGCATCAATTAATCTTGTTGATCGTAGAACATTTTTTAACCGTCCAAAATTTTTCTACAATGAACACGATTGCCACGACTGACCTCAAGATCTGATAGGATCGCCATGATTAAGACCACGATTTCAGTCCTGGCGCGAATCGTGATGGTGTGAACGTAGCATTATGAATCTATGACAAGCACAATTAGTGGTAACACCACTCTGATTACCTGACAAAGGCGAGTGAGTGAGTGAGTTTAGTTTTACGCAGCACTCAGCAATATTCCAGCTATATGGCGACGGTCTGTAAATAATCGAGTCTGGACCAGACAATCCAGTGATCAACAGCATGAGCATCGATCTGCGCAATTGGGAACCGATGCCATGTGTCAACCAAGTCAGCGAGCCTGACCACCCAATCCCGTTAGTCGCCTCTTACGACAAGCATAGTCGCCTTTTGTGGCAAGCATGGGTTGCTGAAGGCCTATTCTACCCCGGATCTTCACGGGTCCCTGACAAAGGTTCCTAATTGGCTTTATTAGTGTCTGGGGTAATTGCTAAGCCATATAAATCCAGGTCTGGTGTGGTAAATGTATCGCGTGGGAGCACAGCAAGAGAGGAATTATCAGTTGGGTTCCACAAGACATCGATTAAAGGATTAACTGATAACACCAAATTGAGTAACCACGGTCACCCTGCACAATGGATTAGTCAAACGTTGGTGAGTGAGTTTAGTTTTATGCCGCGTTTAGAAATATTCCAGCAATATGACGACGGGAGACACCAGAAATGGGCTTCACACATTGTACCCATGTGGGGACTCGAACCTGGGTCTTCAGCGTGACGTGCGAACGCTTTAACCACGAGGCTACCCCCACCGCCCCTTTAACTATGAAGAACTGAAGAGTGATCTGCACGTGTATACAGAAGAGTCCTTGTTCTGTTTCCTGGTTATCATCTGACTATGGTTTTACGCCACTTTTAGTAATATTCCAGCAATATCACGGCGGGGGACACCAGAAATGGGCTTCACACATTGTACCCATCTGGGGAATCGAACCCGGGTCTTCGTCAAACGTTGGTGTTAATGTATATATGTTTACTAAAGCAGACGGAATACACCCATGTCTGGGCATAAAGTACCTGTGTAAAAACAATACATTTTAAAGGTTGAAATTTGTTGAGTGTCAACTTCTTTCATATGGGGTAGGGGAGAGAGAGAGGACGTTTCGGAGTATGACCTTACTCTTTCATCAGGTGAATGAAAAAGTCGGAAGCAGCTATACGAGTGCATGTGAAAGAGTAACAGTGATAAGATAGAAAAGGGGGGCACTTAACAGAGGAATCCAGTATAGTTACTTGGAGCTGAACAACTATGTATGTAAAGGATCAGACGCCATAGCTCGTTGATTGATTGAACTGAATGGATTATTAACAGTTGGTTTGTTGGTTAACACCACACTCAGCAATACGGGTGGACGATAATATCGGTTAACCTTTATATTGCAATTCGAACTTCACAATACGATATATTGCGGTACATTTTTCGCGAACCGGTTCAGCCGATACGATCGGCAATTTCCGTGACCATGATCGGTAATTTTCGTGATTATAGTAAAAAATACTAATAACATTTGTATTTCCTTTATATTATTATACATAAAAGATTTGAGAATGTTTATTGGTCATATAATTGCATGTGCGTGACTTTTAAACCATATATATAAAACAAAATAGAATTGGTACCGGCACTCGTTGTAGGGATAAACAAACTAAATGGCAGACGCCTCTGCAGACGCATTTTCTCGAGTTGTAATCTTTAAAGCGAAGTCTTCAATTTGGAAGCATTTTCAATTGATCTCTTGAACAATCACATCTGAGTTCTGACAGTGGCCAGTGGCATTGTTTCAAAAGAAAGGAAACAATCATTTCATTACCTTAACCCATGTGTTACACTTTCACAATATATTGCAATACGACAATTTTGGCAATACCCAACCCTACTCAGCAATATTCCAGCTGTATGGAGGCGGTCTGTAAATAATCGAGTATGGACCAGACAATCCAGTGATGGACATCATGTGCATCGAACAAAGTAATTGGGTTGCTGAAAGACCAATTCTAACCCAGATTTTCATGTGGGATTTTTAACAGAACCGTGGACGTCCTGACAATAGTTTGTCAGATGTGCTATCTCAGCTTTCCAATGACACTTCACATACATGTATAGACACAGTGTATAGATTGTCGCATCCAGTGTTAAAGTACAGGAGTTATGAGTTATAGTTTACGATCGTGTCAGCGTTACGATCACTTTATGGAGCGAGGCTTTGGTCCCTAGCAACCAATGGTGGTTGGAGCAGACGACTGAATGGACCAGACGGTCAGGTTCGGCGTCCTGGTTGAGTGGTTGTCATCTGGATGGAACGTTGCTCGAAGTAGTAAGTGAGTATGGTTTTACGCCATTTTCAAGCAATATCACGGTGGAGGACACCAGAAATGGGCTTCACACATTGTACCCATGCGTGACGGGCGTACGCTTTCACCCCCACCCCCCCCCCGAAAGTGTGAGTGAGTAAGTTCAGTTTTACACTGCTTTTAACAATATTCCAGCAATGTCACGAAGGACACCAGAAATGGTCTTCACATATGGGAACTTGGGTCTTCGGCGTGAAAGGCAAACGTTGTAACAACCATGCAGGCCACGAGACGGGGCCCAGGTTACCCCACTACCAGCTTGTAATATCAATATTTTATTTGTCAGGTCCAAACTTGAATAGCCCTGAGTGAGGCGTTAAACAACAAACGTGCAACAACTGCATTTTGCATGACGTCCATGGTCTGAGATATCACAGGGGTTTGCAACGCTAGTATCGCGGTCGGTCCTGTGATAGCGCTATACACAAAGATACTTACAGCTTCCGAAGACGCGAGCTCATAAAGTACGTCTTTGATTTTTGTCATCAATTTGTAGCCAAGTCTACTTTCTAAATGGTATTGTATATTCATAGCTTTTGGTCGTGGGAGCCGTGCCGTGCCAGTTTACACTCACCCATTTTGTGGAAGCCGCAGTGGCGGAGTGGGTTAGGCGGCTGGCTCTGAGGGTGTCGGTTCGAATCCCGGATGGGACTCAACCCAACACAAGTACTAGAATCTATACTTTACTGAGGAAATGTAATCCCAAATATTACATGTGTTATAAGACTATTAGCCTGAAATGCGTGTTTAGTGTAATAGGTGTATTTACAGTGATCATTATTGAGTTCTTCCTGGAGCGAGACTATTCCAGCTATATGGCGGCTGTAAACAAACGAGTCTGGACCAGACAATCCACTGATTGATATCATAAGCATCGATCTACGCATGACATGAGTCAACCAAGTCAGCGGGGCTGACCACCCGATCCCGTTAGTCGCCTCATATGACAAGCATGGGTTGCTGAAAGACCAATTCTAACCCAGATTTTCATGTGGGATTTTTAACAGAACCGTGGACGTCCTGACAATAGTTTGTCAGATGTGCTATCTCAGCTTTCCAATGACACTTCACATACATGTATAGACACAGTGTATAGATTGTCGCATCCAGTGTTAAAGTATAGGAGTTACGAGTTATAGTTTACGATCGTGTCAGCGTTACGATCACTTTATGGAGCGAGGCTTTGGTCCCTAGCAACCAATGGTGGTTGGAGCAGACGACTGAATGGACCAGACGGTCTGGTTCGGCATCCTGGTTGAGTGGTTGTCATCTGGATGGAACGTTGCTCGAAGTAGTAAGTGAGTATGGTTTTACGCCATTTTCAAGCAATATCACGGTGGAGGACACCAGAAATGGGCTTCACACATTGTACCCATGCGTGACGGGCGTACGCTTTCACCCCCACCCCCCACCCCCGAAAGTGTGAGTGAGTAAGTTCAGTTTTACGCTGCTTTTAACAATATTCCAGCAATGTCACGAAGGACACCAGAAATGGTCTTCACATGGAAACGGGTCTTCGGCGTGAAAGGCAAACGTTGTAACAACAAGGCCACGAGACGGGGCCCAGCTTACCCCACTACCAGCTTGTAACATCAAATTTATTTGTCAGGTCCAAACTTGAATAGTCCTGAGTGAGGCGTTAAACAACAAACGTGCAACAACTGCATTTTGCATGACATCCATGGTCTGAGATATCACAGGGGTTTGCAACGCTAGTATCGCGGTCGGTCCTGTGATAGCACTATACAAAAAGATACTTACAGCTTCCGAAGACGCGAGCTCATATAAAGTACGTCTTATAATTTTTTGTCATCACTTTGTAGCCAAGTGTACTTTCTAAATGGTATTGTACATTCATAGCTTTCGGTCGTGGGAGCCGTGCCGTGCCAATTGACACTCACCCATTTTGTGGAAGCCGCAGAGTGGCGGAGTGGGTTAGGCGGCTGGCTCTGAGGCCGTCGGTTCGAATCCCGGATGGGACTGAACCGAACACAAGTACTAGAATCTGTACTTTACTGAGGAAATGTAATCCCAAATATTACATGTGTTATAAGACTATTGGCCTGATAAGCGTGTTTAGTGTAATAGGTGTGGGGCGGTGGGGTAGCCTAATGGTTAAAGCGTTGGCTCGTCACGCCGAAGACCCGGGTTCGAATCCCCACATGGGCACAGTGTGTGAAGCCCATTTCTGGTGTCCCCCGCCGTGATGTTGCTGGAATATTGCTAAAAGCGGCGTAAAACCAAACTCAGTCAGTCAGTGTAATAGGTGTATTTACAGTGATCATTATTGAGTTCTTCCTGGAGCGAACCTGGTGCGGGACTATTCCAGCTATATGGCGGCGGTAAACAATCGAGTCTGGACCAGACAATCCACTGACTGATATCATGAGCATCGATCTACTCATGACATGTGTCAACCAAGTCAGCGGGGCTGACCACTCGATCCCGTTAGTCGCCTCTTTGGACAAGCATGTGTTGCTGAAGACCAATTCTAACCCGGATCTTCACAGATTTGTTTCTGAGGTATTTGTTTGCAGACACTGGTGTTGGCAAGGAGGGAGTGAGTGAGTGAGTTTACTTTTACGCTGCACTCAGCAATATTCCAGCCATATGGCGGCGGTCTGTAAATAATTGAGTGTGGACCAGACAATCCAGTGATCAACATGTTGGCAAGGATGGACACTGAACACGACATATGCTAATTAGTATTTTTCCTTATCACCAGATTTCAGAGACAGAAAAACAACAAACAGTAGCAATAGTGTGTGCTTTTAATAACACTGGCTCACACACATTAAAGTAACAAGGTTGTACAACCAAAGGACTATTTCTCTGGTAACAAGTTCACAATCTAGCATGACATCAGGTTCTTCTCGAGTCTTACAAAGACTCTGGGTAAAAATGAAATCATTGCAAATATTAGAAATGTACGAGAATTAATTTTTAATGTTTATGATTTGCAGTAAACAAGGTCAGTTGGAATTAGTATAAAAAACAACAACACATAAACCTGCATTCTCGATAATCTCCAGGGTATACGTTACGATCACTCTCCACTATACCCTGGATGCATCCACGGCTTGGATGGTTTTATTACCTCCCTTGGCTCCCTTTTTATCCAATCAGGTGTCTACGCTGGGAAGTTGAGCGAACCAATCACAACTCACTTTCGCTTCTTAAATTATCTAACCGTTTAAACTTGGCAACACATTGATGCAGAGGTACTCTGAAAGAGGTAGAAGGAGTTCTTTTATATATTTTTTTAAAGTTTCAGATCTGTCAATTTGTCTGTATGATTTCCCAAAAATCTGAGTGGCACTGCAAACAAACCTTCGCGACTGCGACCGCTATCTTTGTTGACACTGGCAAGCTCGGATGTAACGGCGGCTTAGCTGATTGGCTACTGTGAGAAGGCGGAGCCAGCAAAGGGAGGTAATATAGCTGTGGATGCATCCAGGGTATAGTCAAGACAAGACAAGATTTTTATTAGGTCAAAGACCAATACAATATAAATATACTGAATATTCGCCTGTGCACATGGCGAGGTACGTATATAGTGGAGAGTGATCGTAACGTATACCCTGGAGATTATCGCGGATGATAAACCTGATGCCCTATGTCAAACCTCATCGCAACGTCTGAGAATTAAGTGAGTGAGTTTAGGCTGGTTGAAACACCCCAGTAATATCATATCAAGGGACACAAACAAAAGGATTTACACATTGTACTAATGTGGGAATCAAATCTGTAGATTCAGTGTCAGACAACCTCGTGGTAGTCACTTGTGGCAGTAACCACAGGCAAACTGTAGCGCAAGTAGGGTTGCGCAACAGTGAGAAAAATACTGGTCATTTTTCTCTCTGTTGCGCAACCCTATTTGCGCTACAGTTTGCATGTGAAGTAACAACATAATTCCCAGTACCACATCATATCTCTACCATGCATGCATATGGCTGTACTGTCACTAGGCAGACTAGGGTTGTTCCCCTCAAGTCGTGTGGCTGGAAAGAGTCTCCAGATTATATCAACATGGGCATTTCAGCATCAACAACATTGCTGCAGTATATATCTCTGGGCTGCTCACTATAAAAGAGTTTGATGTCGGCTTGTCCCAACACAGAGCTCTGGGCTGTTCCATTGTGATTTACTAAAAGATTCCCGATTTGGAACTTATACCATTCAGAAATCATAATCCTAAGAAAACAGCAAGATGGTTTGCGTCCTAAAACATAAATAGCAATAAATATTTTCAGTCATGCATCTTGTTATGTATTTATCGGGCATGAATCATCAAGTGGGTGAGCAGATATAAAATCTTCACCAGTTAAGTTTTCAAGATGACAAGTAAGTGTACTTTAGCATGATCTAAATCACATATAATTAACTAATTTATAAAATGCTTGTTTCCACACACTTGTGCATGTTCATAGCGCTAAGACATTATTATCCCGGATAACCCAAGCTGCCTGTTAGGCGCTAGAAGGTTAGAAGTCACATGACTTCTCCCACCGGGTACCCATTTTCTGCTGGTCGAACAGAGGCATTTTGTCAGATGATAACAATACATTTTCCTGAAGCATATAAATAGGGATGCAGATTTGGATTGGGATCTATTAAGAAACATCACCTATGTCTGATAGCTCTGAGCAGTGACAAGTAAAAAATCAAAATTCTTTGTAGGGAGCAGTACCGGATATGGCTACAACAGCTACAACAAACATAACAGATAAATCCCAACCTGCCGGATTCTCAAACACTGGAAACGAACAACAGACACCACGACAAATCTGTCACTTGTATATAATTTATGAAAGTATTGAAAATCAAAATGAAATTGTAGTTATGGTAAGGTAGATATGGTTTGTTTTGAAAAAAGTGGGGTGGGGGGCTTAAACACCCCACCCCACCCCACCCCACCCAACGCCGTTCCTATGCCCCTGTATATCAGGGTCCCGATCCACACAGTGTTGGTAGCAGCTACGACATTCATAAGCCTATGGTAAACTATAGAGTTACGTCAAGCCGTAACGTTACGAACGTTTTGTGGATCGAGAACCTGATCTCCTGTGTGCTTCATCCAGAACAAAGGAAGAAGTCCCACTACAATGTCTTCATCCAGAACAAAGGGAGAAGTCAGTTGTCTCTTCAGTGGTCTATGATTGAGCAGCGTATGGGAGACAACTCCTCTCTAAATCATTTTGTTGACTTCATCTATAGTCAACTCTCCAAACTCACATCAAGCACAATGAAAATGCGTTTACACTTGAAACTATCAAACAAGCTTGGAAAGAGTTTCTTTTATGTTAAGAAGATTGATGTTGTCATCAAAAGTGTCATTTTATCTGAGATCTGCCTCATTACCGAGTGGTCAAAATAATCAGCATTCATCGGCCACATCTGCCTGTACCTACAGCCACAATGGCCCATAGGATGACACTGGTACTGAACTGGCTGGCTGGGTGGGTGGGTCATGTCTTTCACACCCACACCCACAGCACAATGCTGCAGGTAGGGAGGACATGCCAGCAGCGGAGATTATGAAGGTAGCTCGTTGGTCCTGGCACAGACTGATGTCGCACATCACCAAGTACAGACTACTGAGTGAGTGAGTATGGTTTTACACCGCTTTTAGCAATATTCCAGCAATATTACGGCGGGAGACACCAGAAATGGGCTTCACACATTGTACCCATGTGGGGAATTCAACCCAGGTCTTCAGCTTGATGAGCAAACGCTTTAACCACTGGGCTACCCCACTGCCCCACACAATACTAGTATGGGTGGGTGAGTTATGATGCTTAAGCAAAACTCCAGCAATATCATGGCTAGGACATCAATGGGCTTCAAACCCAGGTCTTCCGCATGAAAAGCAAATTATCTGCAAATGATCAATTAAGACAAGATTTACTTGTAAGTTTATGTCGGATTGTATTTCTAAATCACAGGCTGCTGAAGGTTCACATTAGGGCTGCAATGAATCCACTGAGTCGAATATGATACATATCAGTGAGTGAGTGAGTTGGGCTTTACCCCGCTTTTAGCAATATTCCAGCAATAATCACAGCAAATGACATCAGAAATGGGCTTGACACATTGTACCCATGTGGGGAATCAAACCCAGGTCTTTGGTGTGAAGACTGAACGCTTTAACCACTAGGCTACCCCACCGCCTGATACATATCATGATGTTACAAATAGGAGAAAGAATACATTTGAGCAATGAATACAATAAGAAGTCAGCAATAGATGTATTATTCATTACATTCAGTGAAACAACAACAAAATACATAACATGACATACATATCAGTGGCCTGATTACGGTCAAAATGTATACATAGGGTATTGAGTATTATACTGGCTTGGATACATTCTGTTGTGCATATCATGCTTTGATAGATATAATCCAAATTCAAGTAAAACACTCCTTTTTAAAGTTCTTGATTATTCAATTTTAGTGATAGCAAATTACGAATAAAATGTATGAAGGATACAGTTTGTAAATGAAACATACAACTTTATGGATGACAACTTCTGGTTTATTGCGTTAAGCGACGTTTCGATGTAGATTCTTACATCGTTATCAAGCTAAAAGTGAGTACAACCAAATGGTGAGAAGCATATATACATGGTATGTTGTGACAAGCAGCAGATTAACATTAACAACAGCATGTAATAGAATAACAAGTGGTACATAATTGGAAGAGGCCAGTAGGGAACTAAAACAACAAATATCACTAGTGATGAAGCCAATAAACGGGGATTGAGTAGTAACAACAAATAGACGGCGTGGTTAGATGGTCTACACTTTGATTAGTTCTTCATAGGCTGATGGGATGTAGTATCCTTGGTCACGGTTGATCAAAGTGAAACCAGAAGTTGTCATCCATAAATTTGTATGTTTCATTTGTTGACTCACCAACTTCTAGAATGCCGATCAAACAATTGGGATAGAGTTTGATTCACAGAACCCCACAGGGCTGGAAATAACTTTAAAATAGCTAGTGTACTCCGGTACAGTGGCACAAGTAAAATCACTTGCCCTGATAATTTTCCCACTATACTGGCCGTTTTCTTGTTGATTTTTAAAATAAACAACATAATTAACATTTGAAAGTCAACTGGACACCGGTACAGTGTGATATACAAATTTGCTTGCCCGACAGAAAAAAACACTGGACTCGGGCGGGGCAATGGGTTATTTCCACCCCTGCCCCAACAGCCCTAGTTCACATGCCCTCAATGACCTACCCATTTACTTCTTTTGGATTTTTGCATCTAGCTGCACTTTAAGTATTTGATCTTCAGCCTCTCTGCACAATTTGACATAAACCTCCCTCATATAGTGACAATGTAAATTTACAATAAATAGTATGATGTTTTTGCCAGAATGCAATTTACTGGGCACAGCCTGCTCACAGCAGAGCATTTATTGCACTATAGCGCTCACTGTCTTGCTATATCACTATTTCAATTTTGTTATTTTTTACGAGAATATATGTTTTTAATATTTAACATGTCCTTTCCAAAGCTAACTTATATTGATGCTTATAGGAACAGTGCAAAAGATTGATCACAGGTAACTGACGTCCTCATAGTTGACAATTCTCAAGAAGATCAAATAATTTTGGTTTAAAAACCCCATAAACCTTGTTATTGCCCACGCGTTTACAAATCAACAAAAAACATGTTTCAGTTGTCAGTCATTTGAACAATTCTTTCAATGATTTCAAACGTTTCAATAGTTATTTCAGGTTTTACATCTTGGGAGTGAGTGAGTTAGTATGGTTTTATGCTGCTTTCAGCAATATTCCAGCAATATTACGGCAGGGGACACCAGAAATGGGCTTCAAGCATTTTACCCATTTTCGGAATCAAACCCAGGTCTTTGGCATGACGAGTGAATGCTTTAACTACAAGGCTACCCCACGCCCCTTAAATCTTGGGAGGATAGAAAATGTATACACACTGGCAAATCTTAACCCCATTTAGTCCAAAACCAAAGTTGTTTTTATATAATTCATAGACATTTTCAGATTTGAAAAGGTTGAAATGCATATTCTGAATAGAACCCATTATGAGGTTGTAAATGGAGTCAGCATAAAATCTTAAAAACAAGTGAATGATTTGCCATGGTCAAACATACAGAACCTCACATTTTATACAAACATGTTCTAAGTAACAGCTGCCATCTTTCAAAGGAGTTCCATCATAATGTCTGGGTAAGGGCGTCATTGAGTTGCTGCAGCTCGTCCAGAGGACCGGGGACGTTCATGATAGGCAGCTCTTGAGTGACCAGTGGGCGTGGCTGTGCGATCTTGATGGCAGGGCGAGGTGTGACCTCGTCAACCTTTGAGTTTTGAATATGGAAGGCTGGCGCTACCCATGATCCACACGGACATCTCTCTCCTACAAAAAGAAGTTTAAAAAAAGTAGTAAATCAAAATACTTCAGTGCTTGTATACACGTTTCCCCTTGAGTACATGTGTACCCAGGGCTGATGTGCGGTGGATGCTGTTTATGACTGACGAGTGTACTTAAAGTGCCTCACATCACATTAACAGCATCTTTGTGAGTCAGTATAGTTTTATGAAGCTTTATTAAATATTCCAGCAATATCGTGGCGGGGGTCACCGAGGGGCGGGGGTCACCGGAAAAAGGCCTCACACTTTGCATCCATGTGGAAAATCAAACCCTGGTTTTCGGCCTGATGACAAAATGCTTTAACCACCACTGCCCTGCTAACATTTTGTTCTACATTGATTATAGCCTTGCATCAGTTGCCTCCACACATGTTTCAATGTTAAACACTGTTTGGGGTTTCAAAACATACAGTCACAGACATATTACATTACCTGCAATACCCAGTCTAAGTAAACTCGTTACACTGCTACACTGAGTCTTAACAAATCAGAACACAGCTTACCAAATCGCAAAAGTTAACATTTGCACATACCGTTTGAACTTTTAACTCTAAAAACATTTGTCCTCCAAATCAGAACACGATTCAAAGTTATTTTCCATAGGATCGCTTCCAGGTGATACACATGTAGGACGCCATTATTCACAACAGTGAAAAAACAGTCGCTGGATTATTTCTTTTTGTCAATATTCCAGGATGTCATCTTGCGGAAATATAAATGTAGTGACCATGTCACCACTAAGCGTATATACTGCAGGTCAAATATCTGTGTTTTATACAGATTTTCGTTTGTTGAGAGATCAGTGTCAGCAACCAGGGAAGAGAAAATCAAAAAACAATTTGTAAGTCCTGCCAAACCCTAAATAGTAGCAATTGTCTGATTGGCTAAATCTGTACGACCATCTCGCTCTGTATAGCAGTGTAACAAATAATCAGAGCTTGATTTAAGAGAGGTTAACCTACTTGCACCAGGTGTAACTTAAGATAAAAACCTACCGTAGTTGCACCAGCCAAATTCTAGTTGCAACATAGTGTGTTAAAACGTCAGAGGTTTCGGTGCACATAAACATATTTCCGTGATGTAGTACCTATGAAACCATAGCAACACAGAGACACAGCTGATCCCTGTTTACAAGACCTGTCATAGCCGAAACGTGTATATGAATAGAAATATTTCAGTGCCATAGCTATTCAAAGTTTAGAAGAAAAATTAGCTGACATGTTTATGCTTAAAATGTTGGAGATATTGTTGATTTATTTCTCAAAAATTGACTTGCACCTTGTGCAAGTTAAGACTCATTACTAGGTTGCACTTTGTAATATTGCGTTGCACCAGTACAAGTAACAAAGCACTAAATCGAGCCCTGATAATACTGAGCCTAAGTTTCCTTAGACTGCTGTAGTACCATACACTTTACTCAGAAGGCAGCCATATGTATTTGTGAGCGATGGAGAAATGTAGCCTATACCAGCTTGTAAAGCCTTTCTGAATCCACAGATAGGACAGTTAAAGTAAATCCGTGAACAGATCAGTCACTAACTGAGGAACTTCAGATATCTCTGCCGGTTCCACCATGAATCACGACACTTAGTAAGCTGATTGGGCCTGATTGGGGCATATTTCATATCAGCATTGTAAATCTATGAACAACTGATACAGTAACAAAATCCAAAGTTTCTACAGGAAGTCATTGTTGTACTTGGACAGCAAGGTGAAAGACAGTAGGTGGTTTAACATAATAACTAAATCAACAGACTAGTTCTCTGTGTTATTGAACTTTTGATGTTCAGTGCAATTCCATATTTTGATTTGTACTACAAGTTTCCTATTTCTTTTCAGGTTAACAATTACCTGGCCTTTGCATGTGTTTATGATAGGTGCCACCAGTACGGCAGGGTACACTTACCGGTACCTTTTCACGAACACCTGGTATCATCACTATTTTTACAATGATTCATAGGCGCATGTCTATGTTATAGTGTTAGAACTGTACAATCATCTCTGCTTTGTCACAGATTTGTCAGGGATGTGGAACGTGTTTTCTTGCTCTGATCTTTTACAAAACAAAATATCGTTTACTTACCATACCATATGAAAGAACCGATCTTGGATGAACATTTTGGACACGAGAGCTGAAAGAAGACACTTTATTCATTACATATAATTCATAATTTCATCAGAAATCCTTTGCAGGCTAAATGATTCAAACATAAAATGAGAAGCATGGCACTTACACCACAATCATTACTATTCCAGCTGCATCTGGTTGGAAACAAGAAGGCTGTTATCGCAAGTAAATTTTATTCCACACTTCATCAACTTAGAAACAGTTAGCAAGGAAGTAATTATTTCTACCTTCCCCTCCATATTTTCCACCGTTCCAGCCATCCATTTCACAGGCTCTATAAACAAGGATTTATTGCATATCGTCTCTGACTTGGCCTTTACTTCATCTGTCCTCTGATTGGCTGGCTGTTTCCCTCGCCAGTCAAATGCAGATTCACCTTCACCAATCGTGTGACTTAGCAGCACAGACTTTCGGAAGAGAGATGTTCTGCAACAAAATGTGGAATTGGGTTTTACGTCGTGCTTGAGAATATTTCGCTCATATGACGATGTGCAAGCGTGTGTATGTGTATGTGCGGCTGCTTGTACTAGCCCAGACTTGAGCTGGTTTTATAGTGCTAGCCCATTGAGATACCATGCCATAGGCGGATCCAGAAGGGGGGTGCAGGGGTGTGCACTGGTGTTGACGTGTGATATATAATTCAATGCAGGGGTGTGCACCCCCCCTTTTGTCCTGAAGGTTTATTGAATGACCATTGAAACTCGGATGAAAATGACATGTGCACCCTCCCTTTTCTCAATAGTATGCACCCCCCCTTTCTAAAAAAGCTGTATCCGCCCCTGCATGCCGCAGTGAAGCATGAATACCCCACCCAGACACATTATACTGACTCCAAGTCGACCAGTCCTTGTTGTACCCATTAATGCCAAGCACCAGGCAGGGACCAACAAGTACCATATTTTAACATCTTTTGGTATGACGCGGTCGGGGATCGAACCCGCGACCTTCCGCTCTCCGGGCGGACGCTCTAACCACTACACCACAGGGGGGGTCAGTTCAAAGGACACTTTATGGCATTAAGGTAGTCTGGTGGTTAAAGTGTTCACTTGTCATAAAAAAAGGCCTGGGTTTGATTCCAAACATGGGTAGAATGTGCGATGCCCATTTCTGGTGTCCCCTGCTGTGATAGTGTTGAAATATTGCTAAAAGTGGCATAAAACTATACTCACTCTTTCACTGAATTGTGTTAAGTACTCTTGTTGTTTTGAGTGACTGAGTTATATTTCACACCATTTAGAACAGTTGTCCAGCAAAGTCACGATTCAAGGAATGGGCCTCTCAACACTCTACCCAGTTGGGAATAGGACATACATGTCTTCAGTGGATGGAGCAAACGCTGTTACAACTAAGCTGTTGCCCTGGTGACTGTCTATAAATATGAAATATTTTGTGTCTTAATTGTTCACATGGTACCCACCGAGATGACAGTGCAAAATTATACTTTGAACAGAAAAGGCAAAGTGAGATTCCCATGAGCAAGTTATTTCAACATTCCATTCTGCATGAGTTGTTCCCCTTTGATGAGGGACACGTACTCCAGCATCAGCAATTGATTGCCACAAAAGGCTAAAAAGAAGACTGACTGACTGAGTTTAGTTTTACGCTGCTTTTAGCAATATTCAAGCAGCATCACAGCAGGGGACACCTGAAATGGGCTTCACACATTGTACCCATGTGGGGATTCGAACCCGGGCCTTCAGCGTGACGAGCGGATGCTTAAACCACTAGGCTACCCCACCGCCCCGCTAAAAAGAAGAATTGATGTGAGTCTGCGATGGTTATTTGGCCAATATAGGGTTACCTCTCTGTCTAAGAAACAGGTTTCTGTTGGAACTTTGTTGATAGATGACACTGCCTGACAAGACATTCAAAGTTAATAAAGTAGTACAATTCAAGTAAGCCAGTCCTCCAACTACATCATGGCACCCTGTGGGCTTCTCCAATGTTAGCGGTGTAAAGGGGAGCAGACAAGTGTCTGCAGCCTGTTTGTAATGTTCATGACACGCCACCCATGACAATAACATATTCATCAAGACATGGACTGCTGACCAGTACTGACCCTTCAAAACGCCCAAACCAATCAGCATGATGCTTTAAAATATTCATGCTTTAATCATGCACTGTGGTGTTATGGTATGCATGAATATAAACGTGATGTGCTTTTTATGAAATTATCATGTCTATTGAAGAATGGATGAAATTAGTGGAATGTAATTAACATTTTTGTATCCAAGAGCATTATTATTCAAACAGTTAGACTGACTGAGTTTGGTTTTACGCCGCTTTTAGCAATATTCCAGCTATATCATGGCGGGGGACACCAGAAATGGGCTTAACACATTGTGCCCATGTGGGGATTCGAATCCGGGTCTTCGGCGTGACGAGCGAACGTTTTAACCATTAGGCTACCCCACCGCCCTCAAACAGGTAGAAAAGGTTTCATCTATATTATTTACACTGGTACATACTGCATGCTTGAATTTACACAAACAGAAATGTCTCGGCTCAGTGATAAAGTTTTATATTCAAACCATTTTAAAAAGGTTTAATTACTTTATTTACACTGGCATATACTGCATTTGAAGTTTCAATCCTTGTATTGGCAATACATGCTGATAGCATAAGGATCTGCCTATGGACAGTGATAGAGATTTTGTATTTAAACTGGTACAGACTGCACACTTGAATTTTCACTCCTTGTATAGGCAATGCATGCTGATAGCAAACGAACCTGTCTCTACACAGTGACACACCTGGTCATACCCACCTGCACTTTTTACACCTGTACACTACAACATCTTGTCCAGAGCCATCAGGATCAGCAGCAAACATATCGGACGGAACCTCCCCTGAATACACACCTGGAATCAAGAGAAGATTTTAACTGAACTATGTGCGGTTAATGAGAACAGATGATAGTATTGATAGTGATACCGTAATAAACATGGACATAAATAGCCAATATGACACATCCTATCCTCATATGACCTACCTGCCTGTACCCGTAGAGCCAACTGATTGAGCTTGTACATCCGGGAAGCCATTGTGCTTCTTGTCAATGTGACAACCCATATCTTCATACAGCTGCAGCTGTTCCATGAAGCCACGATTCGGTCTGTAATAAAAACATTAGCCTGAACAATATTTCAGTATTCTGACAATCAACATGTCATAATTGGTATACTAGTTGTAACGGTGTAATGCTTACATCACGTACATGTGAAGTATTTATGGGAAAATTGTATTACTGTAAACTTAATATGAAGAACAAAGAGTTTGCTACTGTGTTAATAACATCCTCGATAATCTCAAGGGTATACGTTACGATCACTATCCACTATATCCTGGATGCATCCATGGCTTGGCCCGATGATTTTATTACCTCCCTTGGCTGGCTTTTCATCCAATCAGGGAAGTTGAGCGAACCAATCACAACTCACTTTCGCTTCTTAAATTATCTAACCGTTTAAACTTGGCAACACAACTGATGCAGAGGTATTCTGAAAGAGGTAGAAGGAGTTCTTTTATATATTTTTTTAAAGTTTCAGATCTGTCAATTTGTCTGTATTATTTCCCAAAAAACTCTGAGTGGCACTGCGAACAAACCTTCGCGACTGCGACCGCCATCTTTGTTGACACTGGCAAGCTCGGATGTAACGGCGGCTTAGCTGATTGGCTAATGTGATAAAGTGGAGCCAGCAAAGGGAGGTAATATAATCATCGGGCCAAGCCCTGGATGCATCCAGGGTATAGTGGAGAGTGTTCGAGGATGTGTTAACTAATGCAGTACATCAAATGTTTCCTTGTCTTATTACACACTTGTTACACACCTGATTAAGCTCCTCATTTTTTTAACATATGCCAAGGCCTCTTGAAGGTCAGTCTGACACTTGGCCATCATGTAGGCGATCACCATGGTTGCACTACGGGACATGCCTGCGAAACTGCAAACACAAACTTGAATTTATATAAAAAACATTTGTCATTACATCATGTCCAATTTTCCTTACAACTCACACATGAGACTAAAAATACATCTGAACCATGGATCTTCTGATCTGAGGTTGTCCTCATGACCAAATACGTTAACCCTGTCAGAAAACTGACAAGGTAAGTGTAGCGGCCATAAAATTTCCGAGTCCCGTGCTGGGATTCGAACCACGGACCTTCTGATCCGAAGTCGGACGCCTTGTCCACATGACCAAAGAGGTTTACCCCGTCAGCAAGCTGACAAGGTAAGGATGTCACCTGTGGGATGACTCCACGACCTGCTACATACACCCCCGTCAACAGAAGGCACGTCCCGAGCTGCATAGTTGGGTACTGAGACTTATTTTGCTCAAATTTCATATGAACATGCTCAGCCCCACGTTGGGCGCCAATGTAGCGGCCATAAAATTTCCGAGTCCCGTGCTGGGATTCGAACCACGGACCTTCTGATCCGAAGTCGGACGCCTTGTCCACATGACCAAAGAGGTTAACCCCGTCAGCAAGCTGACAAGGTAAGGATGTCATCTGTGGGATGACTCCACGCCCTGCTACATAAGGATGCCATCTGTATGACACCACACTCTGCTAGAGTAGAATCTTGACAGTCTAGAAATACACTGGTCTAATAATCTCTAAATAGTTTTAGTTCTTGAGTCCAGTTTTTGAGATCTGTTGTTTCAGCGAGTGAATCGCAGTGTTTAATTAATTTTAAATTCAAAACTACCCCCTGACTTTTTCCAAACACAAAACACATTTCAGGAGAAACTGCTCAGGGGTGGAAATAACCCATTGCCCGACGCCCGAGTCCAGTGTTTTTTTCTGTCGGGCAAGCAAATTTGTATATCACACTGTACCGGTGTCCAGTTGATATTCCAATGTTAATTATGTTGTTTATTTATGTATAGTGGAAAACTTATCAGGGCAAGTGATTTTACATGTGCCACTGTACCGGAGTACACTAACAATTTTAAAGTTATTTCCACAGACTAAACATTAAAACAGTAGAAAAATGTTTCACCAGTGAACTAAAACGCCACCCTTGTTTCTTCCTTCGTTGATGAATTCAACACATTCGTCAAAGTACGTCAGAAGATCGGTGTCTTGTAGGTCCAGTCCGTGGACATACTTGCAGCTGAAGTGACATGTGATCTCCTGTGACAGGGGCCGGTCATCAATGGTCAAGATATGCGTGATGCCTAACTCTCTTAGTGTGTCAGTGTGCAGGGCCGCCTCCATGCTCCCGAGGTACAGGTTGTCAAATATGGCGTTTAGATCAGTAGGCATGGCTGACAACAAGTGCACAACACAAAGCTTCAAATACAATCGGTTGAAAACGGTCCACCTTTTGTTTATGACAAGATACTGTGTAATCTCTGTTGTGCAATCATTTCAGAAATTGTATCTCATTCATGTGCGCAGCCATCTTGGACATATTAAAGTCCGGTAACTCCAGATAATTTCTACAAGAAGACCACACAGAACACTAAAGATTATCTGCTAGCCTCCAGGAACGGAGGCTGTTTAGGGAAGTGAGTGAGTGAGTGCGTTTAGGTTTACGCCGCTGATAGCAATATTCCAGCAATTTCACGGCGGGGGACACCAGAAATGGGCTTCACACATTGTACCCATGTGAAGAATTGAACCCGGGTCTTCGGCGTGACGAGCGAATGCTTTAACCACTAGGCTACCCAACTGCCCTTTTAGGGAAGTCTTGTAGGGACAACATCTCATTACATTGGCGACAGTAAGTTATAAAGAATTAGTATTAGTGACAAAACAGCTACTTACTGTGTTAGAAAAGCCGAGATCATTGATCATTATCTGGAAAATCCAAATTATCTGTCTTGAAATCTCAACATACAGGATCTTAACATTTGAAATTAGAATCTACCATTTTGAAATTTCAAGAAAAGCTAATGGCCCTGATAGACCTACGCAGATGTTGGTTACGAAATGTTTGAAAATAAGACCTTTCGTTCTTTCGCAAATATCTGAATTACTTTTCAGAAAAAGACAACTGTCGACGTATTAGCGTTTGTGCTTTACCGGACTTTATTTACCTACTTGAATGCCTGTTAAATAAATTCTTCTGTGACATTTTCACGAAAATATGCATGTTTTATGCTTTTCTCAGCAAAATACAGAAATCATAAGATTGTATGGTAAATTGTCACCTTACGTTGATACATTTTTGAAGATAAGCATCTTTCAAGATATAAATAAGTGTCAGTCATTAATAGTGTGAGTCATTATAAATCTGTCCTGTCATATTCATACAGTGTCCTTTGAAACTGCTCCAGGGCGGTAGGGTAGTGAGTGGGTGATTGATACAGACGCCGCATCAACAATCACTCACGATTCCCCACAATGTCATGGGTAGTATGTGTGAAGTCCATTTCTGGAATGTTGCAAAAGCGGAATAAAACTAAACTCACTCACTCATTCAGACGCCAAAACTGTACGCGGATCTTGAAATAATAGAATATTCTTGTCACTAATATGTGTAAATATTGTCATTGTTTCCATGTATTTTCCAGCTCGTGTGGTAATCATAAAATATGTTCATAGGTTATATGGAAATTTGACCGTTGATGAATCTTGACAACTGGAGTGGAACCAGAGTTTAGATTTATTCCATGTTTTGTCCGGACTTAATATTCCTGTCAGGTAAACGTAAGGTTGTCATTTTGACAACAATTTGTATTTCAATGGTTTGGTTGTATAACCGGAGACATGTTATTCAGTATATAGGCACTGGCACAAAATGCATTAAGTGCAATGATTTATAAGGACAGTTTGCTCAGTGGTATTATTTTTCAAAGATTGTATTTTACTTTATGTATAAATACAGATGTTTACACGTAGCATACAAGTTATTGATTTGTTAGAGATTTAGGAATGTATGAAAAAGCGTCAGGTGCTGATAGGAGCTTAGACTTACTTTAGATTTACAGCGTGTAGACGGGTGTTGATTGTACTCGACTTTGTCAAACCACCAGTTAAAATTATTGCCTCTAAATCACGTGGCAACTACCTTCAAGTGCCTGTGGCTGTCAGAACACAAATGTTGATCAATATTAAAGAGTTTTTATTATTATTTTTTTAAAAACTTTATGCGTGTGAGTGCTGATGAATCATTTATGGAGGAACGAGAGGAAATACACATTTACTAGATCATGTCTATGAGGAGATATAGGCCGGGCAGGATATAACTACACTTCAGTTGCGCGTATTGACTTGCTACGAATTATTGCCCGTTTGTACAAACGCCACAGATAAGATGTAAATTTATTGTGTAGATGTAAAGTTATTGCTGTTGGTATTAAAAAAACACTGGTGGGAAAACTCTACTTTCCCTCGTACGTGATTGTTGTCATCAAAGGTATACTTAAATATTACATACAATATATAATACTAGTATGTACACAAGCTCGTTAATTATATGTTAAAAATCGATCCATAATTTCTCGGCGGACATTAATAGTAACTTGCTACATATTATGACATATAAGCAAAGCCACTTCAATATACAGTTACCCGTGAAGACCCGGGTTAGAACCCATCTTCAGTATAACCCATGCTTGTCGTAAGAGGCGACTAACGGGATCGGGTGGACGGATCAGGCTCGCTGACTTGATTGACACATGTCATCTTATCCCAATTGCGTAGATCGATGCTCATGTTGTTGATCACTGGATTGTCTGGTCCAGACTTGATTATTTACAGACCGCCGCCATATAGCTGGAATACTGCTGAGTGCGGCGTAAAACTAAATTCATTCACTCATGCATATCACTAACTAGACTACGAGATAGTGATATTAACAGACTATTCTTCAAAGGGGTCTACAACACCTTTTCAATGTTTGTATTTTGTTGTTGTTGTTTGTTTGTTGTTTAACGCGTACAACATTTGGCAATATCCAATCTACATTAAATGTCCTGTCATAGCAGCTCTTTTGGGCCCTGTAAACGCCCCTCTACATACGCGAAATTAAAATCATGTGCCCATCACGTGATTGGCCTTGCATTGTTACATTTTCAATGACTAAGCATTTTTTCCCCATTCGTTTCCCAACGCGACCTGAGATCAAACCAGATCACCATGCCCTATCATGCTCATGGAATATTTACGTTTGTATGCGAGAAGAAACGATATATAAAGACAGTCTGGTTCCCGGGGTCTGCTGCGCCTTGATCAGTGTACATCGAAGCGTTAGCGCAGCAGACACCGGGAACCAGGCTGCAAATGAAATTTGTGTACTATTTTTAAATAGGTCTGCCATTGGTCAAATACTTCCGGGTTCCCCAGTATAAACAGCCGTTAATCCAGCCAACGCAAACAACCATTACGGACATTTGAAATACTATCGCTGGCATGCAATGGGCACGTGTGCCCTGACGGCCCGACACTGACAGCCCTGTGGTTTATGACTGCGACACCACCGATATCTGAGCTCATGTGGGTTATGTCGGTCTTTAGTCGTGTATAATAACGCATCCGCTTCAAGTCAAAGCTCATGTGAAGATGGTTGGAGAGTGAATGCACAAACTGTATGACTGTATCACTGGGTTTTATTTGTCACCGTGACTGAGATAGCCGCTTCGTAATTCACTGACTGACGGGATACAAACATGAATTCATATTTCAGTAAGGGTTCAGTTTCATTGTTTCGTTTTGTGAACAGGACACAAGATATTCAGTATTGTGGATGTTTTATGGTAAAGAGACGATCATTTCAGAACAGCGCTGTCGCCCCGAGCAAGTTTCCTGTCAAAAGCGAACATTCGCCCAAACCAAAACAATTCTCTCGGTCTCGACCTTTACACCAGGATGGGAAGAACTCTCAGCGTGTTCTACCCCAGATTGAAGTTCCAGACTACCCAGAACTCAGCGAGGAAGAACCCAACAGTTCTCTTCCCTTCAAAGGCCTTGAAACAGACTTCCCCTGTCTCACTCGAGTGTAAGTACTAATTAATTTAAGTGTCATTGCTAAATAATTAATATTTATAGTATATACAGGGGCGGAGCCAAGTATTATTTGGATGGGGGAACGGGAGGAGCTCTTACCCCAGTATTTGTTTAAAGGGAATTGTTGGGTGGGTGGGTGATTATATTATGGTGCAGACCAGCCCACTTTAAACTGAATTACAATCATGTTAAGTCAGGAAATATCTCTGAAAGTTGTTATATGGTCTCTGGTTTAACAGCAATACCTGAATCATTAGGTTTGTTGTTTTCAACATCAATATCAAAGTATGTCTGAAAATTGTGCTTAACAATAGCGGACATAAAGTGCCTTTATCCACACATTTGTGTATGCACTAGGTGCTAAGACATTATTCCCTGGCTATCCACAGCTGCCTCACGCAGTAAGGCAATGGATGATAATAATAGTCACATCACTTATCCCACCGGGTACCCATTTTCTGCAGGGTGAACAGAGGCAATTTTGAACAAACCCACTTGCCTAAGGTGAGGCCACATGTATCACATGTGCTTCGTAGTGGGGCAGGATGGAAGTCCTAGAAACTCTCAGGAGTCAAGCTGCCGAACATGGTCACCCATCTAAGGATTCTCTGTGTTCAATATTGCTAAACTTCAACTGATTTGTGACCTGTGCTCATGACCATACACCATTACCACAAAGTTTTTCTGACCTGTGGTGATGGGGACATCACTTAATGAAAATAAAAATAAAATTGATGTCACTGAACCACTAGGAGTCATGGGAGTGGGTCAAGGTGTTTCTGTAGCTTTACTGAAATACAAGCCTTTGAGAAGGCGAGGATTGGGATGACTAGCCTCAACTAGTCCCAACTAGTCTCAGCTAATCAGTAGCAATACCAGCTACAAGTTTACATCAGTCAGTGTCCCTTTAACCTGTGAAGATCCGTGATATAATTGGTCTTAAGTACCACATGCTTTTCGTAAGAGGCGACAAACAGGATCGGTTGGTCAGGCTTGCTGACTTGGTTGACATGTCATTCTATCCCAATTGCTTTGATTGATGTTCATGATGTTGATCACTGGCTTGTGTTTCCCAGACTCGATTATCTATAGACCACGGAATATTGCTGAGTGCAGTGTTAAACATCATCCAACAAACACAAACATTACATAACACACATATGTTCAATCTTCTTTTACTCTTCTCTAATTCTTCTTTATTTCACCTTACCTCAGTTAATAATTCTACTGAGATATTACAGTAGCTGAACAACGAGGAGAGTTCTATGGATATACAACTTCTTTAATATAATATGAGTGACGTTTCAGTGTAGCTACTAACAATGGTGTCATCATTTGCTTGATAACGGTGTTAGTAGCTACACCGAAATGTCGCTCATAATATATTAAAGAAGTTGTATATCCATAAAACTCTCCTGGTTGTTCATCACACCAGCTTCTCAATGCCACTCAAACAAGTTATTACAGTAGCTATACATTCTCTGTCATAAACACATTTGAGCCACATCTTTCAGTTAAAGGTCACATGCAACGTAAAACACAACTTTGCAGATTCTGATACCTTTCGGTATGGACTTACCGAAACAAATCGTCAAAAATGCAAATTCAACTTATAAAGTTGAAAAATAACGCGATGAAAAAAACCGCGCGAAATCGGAGTTCAAACGTTTCACTAATTTTCCCCAGACTTTTCTGGGGAATACGGGTTTCAACAGCTGGGCTGCGCTCATAGCACATGCGCAGTGAAATAGGTTCGCGCAACTTGGAAGCCGGGCTGTCTGGTGAATACTCGGTGAAGGCTTTGGTGTGAGCTATTTTCATAATGTTTTTGTTGATATCTCACAGGCGCGAGCTTTTTATATGTTATGACAGTAAATTAACTGTTTATATAATTTCATTTGTCTATTTCACCACACGTTCTTCTTACCGAGTCACTTTCTCAGTTCGATACTTAAAAGCAATGTCATTATTTAGCGTTGACAGAATTTCTAACTGTGATATAGATATGTCGCTGTCACAGACAAAACTCAATGTCTTGTTTTATTGACACCTGTGTGTCTGCCTGCCTGTCTGCTAATGACAATATTCAATA